CTCGCCCACGTCTCAGCAATGGTCTTCATATCCACTTTCTCAGCCCACTTCTTCGCGGCCTCACTCGCCGTATCTTTATCTGTACCCTGCCCAACACCTTTCAAAACAACTCCCTCATCGCGCAATGTCTCTTGAGCCTTCCACTTTCCGGCGCCATTCACTCCTGGCTCCATGTACAGGGCTGTGTACGGGATGATACTAGCATTTACAAGTCCTGCAACAGCGTACAGGAGCCTTGCGGAAGAAGATTGATCATTGCAAAGGTAGGCGAGGAGAATGTTGGTTGAAGCGCCGGATAAGATGAGAGGTGCGACAAAGATGGGTGCGAATTGGTAGGCTTGAAGCCATTGCTTTGCTAGCAGTTTTGGTGGGGCATGCGTGATGAGGGGTGGCATGACGACATGACTGTATGCGAAAGTGAAGCCTACCAGACATAATTGTCAGTGGCTGTTTTGAACGATTTTGAGGCTAATATACCTGTGTATATGGCCGGGGCGATGGTAGCGATCGCTTGCAAGATGGGCACGACGAGGCTAGATGGATCGCTCATTGTGGATAGTTACAAGGTGATGGGTCCTGGTATGCGGTAGAAGCAGAACTTGGTTTGCAGGGTAATGTAGAAGCTGTCCGAAGTGATCTGTTCACGAGGCGTAGATATAGGCGCTTGGGGTACAGAGCTGACGTACTAGCGCGGTGTTTTGGATGCATCAGCATGCCTTAGCTGCATATTCTGGAACAACAGTAGAACGAACGAGATCTTCCAAGATCTACATGGGCTGAAGCACGTATTTATAGCATCGATATGATCTGCACCTGGGCTCTTGTGCAACGACGATCATGTCGTTTTGCGCAGCCCTGTCGTGAAATCAGATAAGCCTTACTTGTACAGGTATACTACAACTGATCCAGCAATCCCAAGACCTCTTGCCTGAGTTCACCCAAACCAACATCCTTCTTGAACCCCAATCTCCGGCATTGCACCTCTAATTCTCTCCTGTCTGTCCAGCCTCTGCCTAAGACAACGACGACCGGATATCCAATCAATTCTGCATCCTTTAACTTCCACCCTAAGCTCTTTACCGCTCGATCATCCATCACAAGATCCACATCTCCATTCCGACCTTCACCGTAGATTGCGTCGTACACTTCTGCTGCGTCGCTCTCATCAACCTTTGGAGATGTGAGGATGACGGCTTCATAGGGTGCTATCGCCCTTGGCCAGTTCAGTCCTTTGGGGTCTGAGAGTAGTGATGCGACAGCTCCGATGATGCGCGAAACGCCGATACCATGGCAGCCCATTTGTATTGGAGAGGAGAGGTTTTGGTCTGGCAAGGCAACGACTGCGTTGAGGGGCTTGCTGTACCGGGTGCCGAGGTGGAAGGTGTGGCCTACTTCGATGGCTTTCTGGACGTCGAGTTTTCCGTCCGAGCAGCGAGGACATGGATCGCCAGTTCCGACGGGCGTGAGATTTAGTTTGGAAGATAGAGGATTTGAGAGTGACCTATCGTTCTTATCAAAGGCAAGGGAGGGGTCGAAGAGGTCGATGGTATCTCTGCCCTTTCGGAGCAGAGAAGCGAGTGATGAGGATTCGATACCGGTGTCCAGCTCGATCTCCTCTGGAAGTGCTTTCTTGACAGTGTGAAGATTGACATGCTCATGTCTCTGTCTTACATCCGTCTCACTCTCGGATGGACGTGGTATCCACACGTTGATCTTTGTCTTTTTATCGACGCTTATACCCGTGTACGCCAGCCAGCTGTCGGTACATGACGCTACAGCTTGGCCGCTCTTTTCCACAAGCTCCTCGTTGGCGACGTAGTCGCATGAGTTGCAAGACCATACGTTGTCTTCGCCTTTGGGAGAAACAAAATGATACTCGTGGCTCAGTTTACCTCCCATGTTGCCAGAATCGGCATCGGCGACTAGGTACGGCAGTCTGAGCTCGTTGAACAGATTGTTGTATGCCTCTCTGACTTCTTCGTAAGTCTTGAGCGCAGCTTCTGTTGAGTGATCGAATGTGTAGAGATCTTTCATCATGAATTCCTTCGCCCGCAATAGACCTTGTCTTGGTCTTCGTTCGTCGCGGTATTTGCGTCCGATCTGATACAGCCTCTGTGGCAGATCTTTGTATGAATGTATCATGCTGGCTACAAGTGCTGTGATCTCTTCCTCATGAGTTGGCGATAGTAAGAAGCCAGAGTCTCTTCTGTCTTTGATGCGCAGGAGTTCCGAGTTCGCGGAGTAGCGACCAGACTGCCTCCATAACAATTCTGTAGTGATGGAAGAGAGCGAAAGTTTTGAAGCACCAATCGAGCTCATGTGCTTGTCAATTAGCGCTTCAAGCTTATTCTGAACGCGTAAACCTAGGGGTAGAAGATGAAAGACTCCCGAATGTGCCTGCGCATGATGAGACAAGTGCTAAAAGTCAAGAGGTTGTAGATGTATACCTGACGGAGAAAGCCACCTCTAACGAGAAGAGAGTGAGACTCATCTGAAGAGTCGTTAGTCAATGTATGCTAGTCGCTCCGATGATCCTCACCTTGCTCGCCGTCCTGGGGTGATATACCACCGGTTGGTGCCCAGAATTTGGATAATCGATTTCTTGAGTCGGTCTAAGCCAATCATCAGCGTTGCCATCTAAATCACGAACTTTTATTGGGACAGCTTACAGCTATATATCTAGCATGTCGAAAGCCTTGTATTGGTGTTCGCTGGGTTCGCGATTGCCATGCAGCTCTACGAATATACGCCGCCATGCGCGCACCACAATGACGATGTTCGATCAACTTCAAACAAAGAGCTCGGAGTCACGCTGTAGATTTTAAGACGGAAAGGAAAGAGTGGAAATGTTGCATGTTCCGTAAGTGGTGCACAACAGCGGGAGATCTGCCTCCAACATGATGAGCACAGACCACCTCGAATCCCAAAGCGCATGGAAATATTTGGAGATCGAACCCACCTCTCAATTGCTCCACGACCACAACTCACGTAAGCATAGCGATTCCTATACTGGGACAGTATATCTTGGGAAGGTACTAATCGACATCCAGAATGCCTCCACGGATACGCATCAGGCCACGCGCCCTCCGCGCCTGCACCTCGAACCCAACCCACCCCATCTCTCTACCCGCAATCGCGACCTACGCCACAGTAGCAGCGACCACCCCCGCGCCCCCAATCCAGCAGACATACAAAGCCGCGCCGCCAGTACTACGATACCCACCCACGCAACCACCCTCTCACAAGCCACCGGAGGTCCGCAAAACCCAACTCCACCGCCAATACCAATCGCTGCTCCGATCCTCCCCTCTGATCCTGATATTCCAGCACAACAATGTGAAAGCGGTAGAATGGATGAGCATAAGGCGGGAGCTAGCCATTGCCCTCCGCAAGCTGGATGCCGAGAGAGTGAAGAACGGGCAAGAGACGCTTGCAGAGGAGGTTAAGATGCAGGTCATCCAGACCAACATCTTCGCAAGCGCACTGCGAGTCGTCGAGTTCTTCAACCCGGAAACTTCGACAATGGATCATGCGCAACATCCTACGGACCCGCGGACACCGACGAGCGCGCAGATACCGAACACGAGTAATGACGCCGAGGACGAGCGCTTCACACACGGCCTGTCGAGACGGGCATACGAGATTGCGAATAATAGGAAGTTGAAGCTGGAATTGGAGCCTCTGCTCTCGGGGCCCCTCGCTGTCGTAGCGTTCCCCGATGTTGCGCCGCAATACCTCAAGACCGTCCTGTCCATCCTCTCGCCTTCGAAGCCTGGTTTCCCCGCTCCGAGCCGAAAAGCGAACCCAGACTACTACGAACCAGCAGTTCAAGCTGGACTCCAGAAGCTGATGCTCTTGGGAGCGAGGGTAGAGGGCAAGGTCTTCGATGTGGACGGCACGAAGTGGGTTGGTGGTATTGCTGGAGGTATTGACGGACTCCGAGCTCAGCTTGTGCATATGCTGCAGGGTGTTGGTGGCAGTCTTACTGGTGCTTTGGAGGGCGCGAGCAAGAGTTTGTACTTTACTGTTGAGGGAAGGAGAATGGATATGGAGGAGAAGGAGAAGGGTCCCGAAGAGGAGAAGAAGGAGTGATTGCGAGAGCAGTGTACATTATGTGTATAGCCATTGACGCAGAATATACGAGGTCGACGTATGAGTCTGAAATGTAGCATTTTCATGGTTTACATGCGTGCCAGATCGAGTTGATATGATCGATCCACTCGTTGATCAGAGAAGCATGATATAATGGAATCATTCTTTCATGTTCGTTTTCGAATGACTCTGTTGTGATAGTTACTACGTACTCATGAAGTACCGTAACAAAATACTCCCACACTGTTCCATGTGATAGTGGCCGTTCACAGGAGGTGATGTCTTCAAGCGGTCCTTTGTCCCAGCGGTGTTACATCAGCATTATAATTATCGTAGGGCAAATCATGAGTGCCGACTTCAAATCAGTCCTCACCACGCAAAAGTCAAGTCTTGATTTATACTTTACGATTCGATTCGTTTTATATAGGTATCCACATATGCTGCGTGGTGTCCTAAGGGTATCATGAGGGATCTGCCTGCCCAAATATGCACACTTCGAAAGATTTGTAGTGGAAAATAAAAAGGACTCCCCTTCTTTCTTCGAGAGACAGAACTCGCGCGCGCGCGCGCAGACACACACAAACAAAAAGACACAAACTCAAAACGTCCTGGGCGCCCCAATCTGGTTCCTCGTATATATAGGAGAGGTATAGGAATGTCGTGGTCGTCATATCCCAATTCGCTCGATCGATCGCTCGCTCGCTTCACTCCTGCCGCGCATTATGCCAATAAAGAATAGTTTGGTGTGTGTGTGAGAGTGAGGGTTGGTGTGGAGAAGCATGTTCAGTCGAGCTCAATGTCGCCGTTGCTTTCGTGAACCGATTTTTCCGTTAAACGCCGATTGTGGAGAGAGATCCGTAACCCCGATGCTGCTAAGTTGATATGTGCGAAAGGAAAATCTGACGTCGCTATCGTCGTGCGCCGCCTACTTCGACCGAGTGTGATGTTCGTTCAAATTGGAGCTTTCGTCGCTTGTTCGCCATGTTGCCGCCGGGTGTGTCTTCGCCTCCGGTGGAGTCTGCATAGTCGTCTCCAAAGCCCTCGCCGTAGCCTTGGAATGCGGCATCGGTGTAGCCGCGCTTCGAGCTTGATCGCTCTGGCCTTACTGCACCCCGGTTCATATGGTTGGTCGGTGTTGGTGCGGAGGATGTGAAGGATGTGGCTCGCTGTGGTGGTATTTCCTGTGGTTTGGGTTTTACGGCATCGTCTGTGCCGAGATAGGCCTTGTATTTGGCAGCTTCTGCGTTGGGGAGAGGTCCAGGAGCTGTGCCTGCGAAGGCGTCGTCGAGAAGTCTGCTGAGGTTTGAACTCAATGCTGTGCCGTCTGCTGTCAGACCCTGCTTCTCGGGCTCTCTGTTCTGCACATGTTGCGACTGCCAAATCTCTTCAGGCATTAGCAGCAGATCCCGGAAAACGCCGTCCATCTTAGTCGCTTTTGGCTTGCCGGCGATCTGCATCTGCTTGATATGGCCCTCGTAGGACTTGCGAAGCTTGTTAATCTTCTCGCCTGTTACCGGGTCATTGCGGGCTACAGATTTGGCGAGCGGGTTGAGCCTGTAGAGTGAGATGAAATTTTGCGAGGGTTGCGGCCGTGCTATCTCAATCTTCTCGCTGCTGAGTTTGAACAATTGGCTGCCGCAAATGCCTTGGGCAGCTTTGAGTCGACCGTCTTCGGTGTATGGCGATTCGGCTTGCCGGTTGTGGTTGGACAGCCTGTGGTGACGCAACCGCGTTATGTCATCGTCCGCGCTCTCTTCCATCGTCGCATCGCCATCGCTGTCGATATTGGCGCTCGACATGAAGCCGGCAGTGCTCGCGGGGGTCGGGAAGGGGTGCTGGTTGGATGCCGATGTTGCCGACTGGGAGAGCGAGGTCGACATGGGCAGGGAGGATTGCGGTGAGCGGTCCGACACGGCGGAGTTTGTCGTGGGGAAGCCTCCATTGGATTGCGAATTCATCGAGTAGGGTGGCGAGGTGGGCGTTCGAGGGTGAATGAGCGTCTTTGTCGTCTGGCCGCTCGCCTTGGCAGCGACGTCAAAGGGCGGGCTGGCGGGTGAGAATCTTCCTATCGAGTCCAAACGTTGCCGTTTCGCGCTGTGATCCGACATAGAGGCCGTCTTCGGGGGTGGAGCGAGAGGGGAGAGCTCGTCGGCGTGCGTGGAGCGTGCAGCGGTGGGTGAGAGGAGGGCTCGTACTGAAGCGCTTGGCGTCCTCCGCGCGGGTCGACCGCGGCAGCAAGGTGGGCGCGCTACTCGATGGTGCGCATGCGAAGAGAGCGGACGGCGGCGCTGGCGACGATGGGCTGCGGGCGATGGGGCGGGGCGTGGGCGTGGCGGGATGCGCAGGAGGGTTGTGGGCGGCTGAGGGTGCGAAGATGTGAAGGAGATGATGGGGTTGACCGGCGGTTTGGGCTCAGCGCTGTCTCGACTGCTCACGTGACGTGCCGGGGCCCATGGTCCGCCATCTAAAACCGCCTTTCGTGTTAGGGCGTGTCAACCATTCATCGACGCTGCAACAACAAGACAACCGGACAACAAAGGCTCGCCCGCTCTTCAATGCCTGCACCGCCATTCTTTGGTCGGTATGGATGACAATAGGCCGCGCGCCGGTGCCTCTGCTGCGGCCGCCTCACCTGGTGCAGCGCCGACTGCGCGCCCCGAGGCATCGAATCCACCCGCGCCGAGCAATGCGCCCAAGATCCAGCAGCCGAAACCCCAAGCTCTGCCATCGCGATCCGGCCCCAGCGCCATCCTGGTCTCGCCGCGACAGAAAGGCAACCCCATCCTCAACAGCGTGCGCTCCGTCGCATGGGAGTACTCTGACATTCCCGCCGACTATGTCGTCGGTGCCACAACATGTGCCCTCTTCCTGTCGCTCAAGTACCACCGTCTGCATCCCGAGTATATCTACAACCGCATCCGAGACTTGAAGGGCCAGTACAGCCTGCGCATCCTCCTTACCATGGTCGATATTGAAAATCATGAAGATCCATTGAGAGAGCTATCCAAGACGTCATTAGTCAACAACGTCACAGTCATGCTATGTTGGAGCGCACCGGAAGCCGGTCGCTATCTGGAACTTTTCAAGACATTCGAGAACGCTGCACCGACCAGCATTCGCGCTCAGCAAGCAGGCACTTATTCAGAGAAGATGGTCGAATTCATCACCGTACCACGCAGCATCAACAAGACAGATGCAGTAGGCTTAGTCTCTAATTTTGGAAGCATCCGCACTGCAATCAACGCTGGGCCTGAGGAAATTGGCCTAATAGCAGGGTGGGGTGACAAGAAGGTTCAACGATGGTGCAACGCCGTCAGGGAGCCCTTTCGGGTCAAGAAGGCAGCGCGACGAACCGTCGGTCAAGACAGCGGTGCAGCGACCATGTCACGCGACATCTCCATGGCAGAAGGCGAAAGCCAGATGCCGCCGACAGCGGATGCTGATGATACAGCACATCGCAGGGTGGACGATGCCGGGCCTCTTGCACTGGAGCTGGAGAGATCCGCTCCTTTTGCAACTTCAGGGTCGGATGCAGACAAACGGCCCGATCATCGCATCGCTGAAGATCTCAACCAGGACGATGAAGAAGCAATGCGTGAGGCAGAGTTGGGTGCAGTCCCACGAGGCAATGAGACTCAACCCACTGCTCCAAAACCAGTGAAGCGGAAGCAGGCAGAAGAGGAAAACATGAGCGAGGGCGTCATGGCTGCACTCAGCAAGTTGAGGAAACAATGAACAATGTTCTACGACACTTTCGAAAATGCGACATGTGACTTTGCCCAATTGATGAGCAACAATCAATCCCTGACGTTCACTTTTCAAAGTCCGCTGTGGTCAATACAGCATCGTTTGCAATGGCTATCGCGAACAAATTCCATGTGCAGCATGCCGTCATGCGCCCTCTCATTGGTGACCCCACTCTGGTCCTCGCCCTGCAGCTGCAGCCTAGCCTGCCCACATGCACCTACTTCACTCGGTAGCAAACACATTCAGCCTTACTCCTTCAGCCCAACCACCATTCCTTTAGATACATCGATAGACCTGCTTCTCATTGTGAGCACGTCAAGTTCAGCCATACACATCGAGACTCTTTTAGCAGCCAAATACTACCAGTCACTATCGCCCAAGATGAGCCAATTTAAGCAGTTGCCAGCCGAACTCCAAATCCAAATCTTCGACTACCTTCACGCTGCCGACGTCAAATCCGCAAGAGCTGTGAGTAGAACGTTCCGAAACAATGCTACGCCTGCGCTCTTCCGCAGTATCGTTGCTTGTGCAAGATACCAAGCGCTGGGCGCCTTCCAAAACGTAAGTTCAAAACGAACCCTGGAGGTACCCGCACTATCTTTCGTCATGAGAAAGTCAGTGTTAGCCTCATGTATACCTCAAGACCACAGTTTGGTATCAAGTAGACAGAGCATGGGCATATTGGCTAATGACACGAACAGGTATCACTACACTCGATATACTCAGGCTATGTAAGAGAGATCATCTTCGATGGAACACTATACGATGAGCATCTCGCGAAAGACCATCGCAACTATTCTCGAGCCGAAGAGGCTAGCGGCAAATTCCAGTCCGGATCCTTCTACGCAATGCGAACCAGGTGGAAAAGATACCAAGAGCTTCACAAGGAGCAAGAGAGCATGAAGGAGGACGGCGTCTTGTTACAATCATGCGCACGAGGCCTTGAGAACATGCAGAATATCTCGTCCATTGTTTACTCGCCATATCAACACACCATCCCTATGGAGGTCAAGACACTGCGCGATCTGCTACCAAGAGGAGCTCTTCCAGGCGCGCTCACAGACAACCGTACCACTGACTCGGATCACCCTTTCCGCCAACTTATTGGTGCCGTTTTTTTGTCGAATTACACTGGAATCCGACAGCTCACGATCGAAGCACCTCGCGAAGGCCTTCCTCGCACTGAGCTCTCTTTGAATATGTTCAGTTTCCCAGACGCCAACGACCTGAACGCTGGCAAACATCTTTTCCGAAACTTGGTTAAGCTAGACATAAGTTTGTCTATCCTCAACATACCGAGTCAGATGATACATACTATGACTGTGGTTGACCCTCCTGAACGACAGCTCGAGAACCTGGCCAAACTCCTCGAGGCTGCTCAAGAGCTGAGGCACCTTTCTTTTAGCATACTGAACTGGAGGTATCTTGACGAGCTGATGTGGGGTGGGGGCAACATTCCAGAAGGACGCTCTATCATAGACTTGATCGGTCTTGGAGCAACATGGCCGAAGCTCCGCTCCATGGAGCTCAAAGGCCTATACGCTAGGGAGCGCGATCTGTGTGAACTGATCAACCGACACAAGGACACACTCAGAACCCTTACCTTCGCAAGAACCACTCTGCGCGCAGGTCTGTGGATCGAAGTCGTGAACGAGGTTGTTTTCAATGCGTCTATGATCACAACATTCGTGCTGGACCGAGTCGATGAAACCCACAGCGGATGGAATCTAACCAGCGCCAACGGGGCTTTAGAAGGATATGAAGGCCGGCTGATAGTGACCGAGGGTGGAGAACGCGAATTTGTACGCAGAAGTCCTTGAGTTTGATTTGTCTTGCTACTAATGATAATGTATAGGTCAGCACCAATCCAGATGCACCCTCGGTTCACGACGCCCGCAACAACGCAGCAAACCCAGCATGATCCACTATTCCGTTACCTCGCTACCAATCTTGACGCACACCAATTACTGGGTATTGGCGATTGCTCAGACATCCATTCATCGTTGGTAGCATGAATCAGGTATTAGCTAATAGTCATACATTGTTCTGCTGGCTACATACACCCGTAGATTCCATTTCTTTGCTCATTCAATGTGATGTAGGCCGCAAAGTTTGAGTCTGGTCCTCGCGATGATACGAGAGCCTAGTATCAGAGAGCCGTTGCTCGGCTGCCCTATATGCAGGACTGCCAACCTGTGCTCTAGAGGCCATCACGACCTGTTTCCAACTGCTTACCCATTCAGGGTACTTGTCTGAGTCTGTCTGCGACAATTCATCATCGTCTTCGTCCTTCTGCCCTCTCGTGCACTCTTTCAGGGCATCGCCTTCTTGCTCCTCAATCCTCCCCTGCGCCCCCAGGCAACTAAAACATGAACCTTCCGAGTCCTGCTCTACCGCCCTCTCCTTCCCCTTCCAGACCTTCTCCTTTACTGTTTCGGCAGAATCTGTCTCAGAGTCTGTCTCCGCTCCGTTGATGCCCTTCCGCATCTCCGCTTCCTCGTGTATCTCCATCCCTTCCCGATTTCCTACTTTCGCCTTCTCTTCCCCATCCCCCACATCCGCCTTCTCTTCCTCACCACTCTCCTCCTTCTCCCCAGCTCCCCCTCTCCCTCCCTCCCTCCTTCTTCTCACCCTCCGCATGCCCCTCCCCCAACCCACCAATCCACTCCGCCGTCCTCACCCTCCTCAATTTCCTCAAACTCGTCCTCTCCGCATAATCAATAATTTCACCTCCATCCCAACTATAATCTATCCTGCCAATCTCGGCCTGACTGTCTGCGACGCGTCGCTCTTGCCATTCCACCCACCCGTTACTTCCTGGTGCACAGTAACTGCGCACGTCGTCGTCGCGGTGGTGGATGCGTGCGGCGACTGGTTGCCAGGATGTGGGGTGTTGGCGGTGGGGGAGTTGGGAGATTTGGACTGGTGGGCGTGCGGTGGTAGTCGTGGTTGTGGTGGTTGTGATGGTTGGGTTTGGGGCCTGAGTTGGTGGGTGTGGATGTGTCGCTGGTGGAGGGGCGGGGACAGAGGCAGTCTGCTCAGTTTGAGGTTGGGCTGTGCGTTGGTTCGAAGTATCTGGGTTTGGAGATGGGGTATGTGGTGGTGGATTGCTTGTGGAGGGGTTTGGTGGCGCAGCGAGGGGGGCTGGTGAAGATGGTATTGATGCTAGACCTTGAGAGAGGATTGATGTGCTGGCTTGTTGGAGGGAGGATCTAGCTGCGTCCGCGGCTTCCCGTGGGCTTGACATTTTGGTTTATGTGAAGGGTTGAAAGCTTAATCTCGTGACGTTGGGAAGAGAAGAGAGACTTTCTGGGGAGCCATAGTGAATACTGCGCAAAAGGTTATGTCAAGTCGGACCACGGTAGCAGAGATATCTCCTAGAAAAATATGTGACGGTTCATTCAAAAGGCAACCCTGGTGTTGGTGGGCTGAAAGATTTAGCATTAAACCTTGGTACGCTATCGCAGTACCATGTACTATATGACTCCCTCAGCATAAGGACCAACCGCATAATAAACAACAGTCATCAATCGTCAATTCAAGCCCTCTCAACCCTCTCAGTAGCACCTTTGGCGTCATTGTCCACAACAACACTGTGATGCCTTGCCGGGTCCTTCTCCTCAATGGCCGCGCCTTCAACAACATGGTTCTGACCACCAAAGATTGCGTCCATCTCCTCGAGACTAACCTTCTTAGTCTCGGGAACGAAGAACCAGACAAATGCGGCTAGCAGCATGTTGATGGCGGCGAACATGTAGAAAGCGTAGAAGCCCTCGTTCTTGAGGAAGACGGGGAAGAATTGCTGGACGATGGAATTTACGACGTTTTGGGTTTGCGAGCACATGCCCACGGCTTGCGCACGGATGTTCATGGAGAAGATCTCGGCGGTGAAGATCCATACTGTTGCGCCCCAGGATGGCTTGTCTGTGATAGTTGTTAGTGCGTGTTGGTGTTGAGATGGTACTGAGAGGGTGTGACTTACAGAAGAGAGCGAAGAGGAACATGAGGAACACGATCGCGATACCAACTGGCTCCGACTTTGCTCCACTGGGAAGAGTAGGTGTCTGTGTTTCCACAGTAGCAGCGATAAGCATGCAAATGCCCATACCGATACCACCGACGATGAACAGGAACTTGCGTCCAAAGCGGTCGACAGTCCAGGTAGCGTTGAGGGTGAAGATGATACTGAAAGTAGCGTTCAAGGCGTTGATCAGGGAGATGGTGTCGGCGCTCGTGAAGACCTTCTTGTAGATGATGGAGCTGTAAGAGTTGAGTGTGCCCTGTCCAGTGATCTGCTGACCACCGTTGACAATCATCGCAATGTACATGCGCTTCCTGACAGACTTGTCCTTCCACAGAGCAGAGAAGCCGGAGGAGATTGCTTCGGCTTCGAATTCGATAGCCTCGCGGATTGTGGTGATCTCATCCTCGACATCCTGCTCGGTAGCACGGACACGGCGAAGCGAGCGGCGAGCCTTTTCGTAGTTGCGGTTCTTCTGGACGTACCAACGGGGCGACTCCGGGATGAAGAAAACTTGGGAGAGGATCAGGATAGGCACCATCATCTGGAAAATGACTACCATCTTCCAGTCCCACTCGCCAAGTTTCTGGGGGTTCTTGGAGGTGCCGAAGGAGATCCAGTATGCGATAAAGGAGCCAACGGAATAGAACATCTGCCAGAATGACATGATCTTTCCACGGATCTCAGGGGGCGAAAGTTCTCCGATGTAGATAGAGCCAGCTGTCAATGCGAGACCTTGTCCGATACCGATGAGGACACGACCAGCAATGAAGACACCGATTTGTCCGCGGGGGGCGAATGTTTGCATGATGGTCGCGATGATGACGCATACAGATCCAGCAGCCATACCAACTCGACGGCCAGCGAAATCAGCGAGGGGTCCAGCCTGCACACAACAAAGTTAGTACACGTTTTGCGGACTGATGATATACAGACGTGACGTACCATGAAGAAACCAGCTACGACA